GCAGGCACCGCAGCCCGTGTGGGAGCACCTCCCATGGCCAGTGACACCCGCAGGGGTCTGAGGCAGCCCCACCACAGCCCTTCCGCTCTTGTAGCTGCCCCTTGTCGTTACAAGTTGGTTTCCTGAGCTGAGTTAAGGCTTCCCTCCTCCTTTGTTCTTCCCGCTTCATGGCTGTAGGTTTTCATTTCCCTGCCCCTGCACCTTGGCTAGGCCACAGGTATGGAAAAACTTGTCGAAGACTTAACGTAGAAATGGTCTTTTTCCTGTCCGAGAGAAGAACAGGGGATTTTGCAGTAGCCCAGTGTGACGTTCACCCACCCTTTTCCCAGTACTGCAGCACGAACAGAAATGCAGAGGCAAGGAGGGAGTCATCTGTGCCATGTGTTAGTTGTTAATTTTAGCTTTACCATAACTCTTGATGACAGGGCTTGGTTGTTTCCTACTGTAGGCAGCATGTAGCAGTTATCCTGGAGATACGGTGTGGCTGTAAGACGGTAAAGCTGCAGCTCATCCCTGAGCCATGGCGTGCTGTCAAGAAGTGCGATAGCCAGATTCCCCCTCTGACTCACACAGCTGCTGCGTAGCGAAGTTGAGAGGCCACGTGGTATTGTTTTTCTTGCATTTGTGTTCAACCCTTGACTTCAGGTTAAGTGAGGATGGCATTAGGCACAGCCTGAGTTCCACACGTGTCTGAGGACAAAGCTTGGCCAAAAAGTGGTTATGTGTTTCATTTAACCTTTGCCTGTTGCTTTTTTCCCCGTTCTGGGTACCTGGTGAAGTCTGTATGAAGTACCAGCCTGTGCTGTCTTGGTCAGAAGAGCACCCCAGGATTTGATGTACAGGTCCCAAACTGAACTTCTCCTAATGTGTAGGCTACTACATGTTACTTACAACTACATTATAGCAGGCTGAGCAAAGATCATCTATCTTTAACATTTTCTCTAGGTTGTTGCTGATACCTTTGCTTGTTATAATGAATTGCATTCAGTTTCTTGAGTCTGGAGCAAAATCACAGACTGCATCAGAAAATACCCGTCTTGCTTTCTCCTGGTGTCAATATTAGTATTTTGCTAATGCATGAGAGCATTGTGCTTCTGATGGCTGTGTTGCCATACAGTGCTGGAGGCTTGCCTGGCTTGCATCCAGAGATGATGTTTGACTGACAATGGTCAAGCTCAGTGGAGTGGACTGGTTAAAGGTATGGGGAGCACTGGCAATGTGCTGCAGCTAACTCCAGCAGGGTGTCTGTGGGAGCTCCTTCTCTTTCTAAGGTTGTTTTTGTTGATGGTCTTTTGATTGTTCAGTCAGAGTATTCAGTCTCTACTCTCATGTTTGGTTAAACATCATGTGAGGATGCAAACATCTCTTGCAAACTTTGGGTATATGCAACATCTTGTAACATCTCTTTCTAGCTAAAGAGAGACACCATCTCTGTAGGAGAACTGATGACTTGGGTGGAAGTGCACCAGTTGATGTGTTAAAAGAACTGAAGGTACAGTTGGCTGCTTACAATAGAGGTGTCAGGAGGAGCAAGGAATTATTATATTATATAAAGACTGAAGCGGTTGATCTGAAGTCATGTCGAGTGAAGTGTCAGAAATGAGACATGCATGCTCTGTAACAGAACATTCTTCATAGGCAGTTTAACAAGTTTTGGATTTAAATCGAGGGGGTGGGGGGGAGTAGTGTAGCTGTTATGTCAGGGCTTTCACAAGTTTGCAGTGTGCAGTCTGGGCTGTGACTGGTGGAAAAGCAGACCTGAGCAGTCATGTAATCGGTGCTTTTCCTAGGCAGTTATGAGCTCACGCTATACTCACACCACAGCTGCATGTATATTTTCCAAAATACACTTTTGGAATTATATATGCGCTTTTTTAGTATGCTAATCATCTCTGTGGTCATTCATTCCTGGAGTTAACGACTAGTCTCTTAGAGAAAACAAGTTAACAAACTGACAGCTGCTCATAATGAATCACTTGCTGGAGAGGCCAGTGTAAGTTTAATATCCACAATAAATCTTCTTCTGCTTCTGATGGTTCAGTGGAGCAATGGCAAAGAAATGAGGCAATAACTTCATTTATCAAAGCAGTTCATGGATGTAGTAGATTTGTGCATGCGAGCTCACAGACAGAAATGCCAGAGAATTACAGACTGTGGATTTCTGTTCTTGGAGTAATATTAAGTGTAAATGGGAAAAGGTAGATCTCACAGTCAGACTATCAATAGCTGCCAGTCCTGGGTAAATGGTTGGCATGAAAAGATGGGCAAGAAGGGTGCAGACAGCTGGGGAGCTCTGAAAGGGCTTTCTTCTGGCTCCTCTGCCAGAAGTGAAGTGAAATGTCATACCAAGACCTGATGCTGAAGTGACAGATTGCTTGTTTCAGATGTGAACCCCATGTTCTCTGCTGTGTGTGCAACCCCTCCTGCCTCAGAGCCACGAGGGACCAGGGTTATTGCAGAGCTCATGGTGTGTGATGAGACAGAGAGCAGGTTTGTGGATGCTCTGCTGCTGCTGGGTAATTCCTGCAGCGGCTGGCTGACGGGATGTCTTTTCTGATCAGTGTCCACAGTAATCAATAACTATCTTTCATCAGCAGTTAATCATTAACTCATGGCAAATAGCAGATCTTTTTCATAACCTTTGGTTGCAAATAAATAGACATAACAGCCTTGGGTAAGGCAACAAATTTTCTGAAGTTCCCATTTCCTATACTGAAGCTGAGCTAGCCTAAGGACCAGCATTTCCTTAATGCTTTGTTTGCAATGACCTGATGGATCTAGCTGGCAGCTAGTTTGTGTTACAGGTTTAGCTTGGAACGTTGATATCTGATAATATTAAACTTACAGTTCCTGCTTCAGTGAAAAATGAAAATCAGGTTTAGTTTAAATTATTATTATTACTATTATTATTAATATATTTATTGTTTTTTACAATAACTGTTTCATTTCACAGATGTGGTTATGGTCCAAAATGGCAACGTTGTGCCAGGACATTGAGGTAGTTGCATGATCTCCATGATTTGAAATGAGGGAGTTAAAGGTATAAGCATCAAGGAACCCATGATTTAGTGAAAGATCTTTCCATTTCTGTAGTTGAATGAGTAGCATAGGAAGATTCCTTTTGTCAAATACAACTTTTTTTTAATTGACAGTATCCCACTTAAACTGGTGACACAACTCAGCCCATACAGATGGCTGTGTTAATGCTGCACTGAACTGAAACAGTTCAGTTTCAGAAATGGTGTTTAAAATGTGTCTTGAATAGCTTGGGGAGGGGAGCAGAGATATATGGGCATCCTGTTGTGTATGAGACCTCACTGAGAGCCCAGGTGAAGTCTCAGCTGTGTTCCTGGGTACTGCTGTTCTGCTGGAGTTACTCATCTCCATGCAGCTATCTGCCTGGGACAGATGGCATCTCTGTCTCTGTGGTGTGGCAGCTTAGGCCAATTCATATACTGGGACTGAATAAAAGCAAAACCCATGTAAACTGAACAGACAGCAAATGCTTTGTTAGCTTAACTTTGTTTTTTCTGCTATTAAAAGTTTCTACCAGTTCATAATATGCTGATTTCCCCCCAGACAGCTTGCATTTGTATTTTCTGTGTGTTTTTCTGTATAAAATGTTAACAGCACAGCAGGGGAGAATTCTGGATGATTAAAGACCAATTTTGTAGTTCTCAAGTTCTTAGACTCTTAAGTATATTAGCAATTTTGTTGATGCTAATGATTAATGCTAAGCTTGTGCCTGCATTTGTGGAAGTAGGGCCTCAAACAGCACATGGAGCACAGCAGTTTCATTATGGAGTCGTGGGAGGCGAAAATCTCAATTTTTCTTTTCCACTAGTATTATCTAAAAAAAATCACACAGCCTTGTCTTCAGATGTACTGTCCTGCTACAGTTGGAATAGAGACCAATGGACATCTCAGAAAAACTTAAAATCAGTCGTCCTGAGTATGCGACAAAAGGACACGGATTCTCCAGCATTTAGTTTCCTCTTTATGGGGATACAGAAGCAAAGTGATTCTTGAATTATCCCCCTCCTCTGGTTTGAATTTAGAGAGGTTATGCATCGGTAGAAGAAAATGCATAGGCAGAAAACTTAGAGCTGTATCTATGAGGAAGAAGACTTTTAAAAACAAACAAAAAACCACCCCCAAAAACCTTCTTTGTATTGCTTATTGTAATAATGAACTTTCCTGTGAGTGTTTTGTGTGGAGCTAACGGCAGACTTTGCCAGTACTACGTTGGCTCTTCATACTTGGGTCTCACATGGACTTCACGGGGGTCCTTCCTGCCACCACCAAGAGCAGGCTTGGGCAGCGAAGGTGAATTTCTGACCCCACTGTGGCAGATCTGTCAGCCAGAAGTTTTGCCCTTAGACTATAAGGAAGGTAGAGTCCTTGCTCTTCTGTTTTGTAAGATGCTAGGTTGTTTATGAGGTTACATACTATGATTCATGGAGAGTTAAACAATTAATAAATGTGACTGACAGACCCTTTTTCCCACTCCTGCGTGGCTTTCACCGTGGACCAACACTCTTGATGTTGCATTGCTGGAGCGAAGCAAAGAGAAGTCTTCTGGTTTTGGAATGAGTTGTTTTAGTAGTGATTATTGAATGTAATGTGATGGAGCACTTGGTTGTAAAGGTCTCACTAAACTACTTCTTGGGCAAACAGGGTTATTTTCAAAGAGCGTGTGAATTTTCTGTCCTCTCTTGTTGCACCTGCCTTTTGGATTTCTGTCTTTAGCCAGCCTCAGTCTCTGTGCATTGAAACACCAGCAGAGGCGTCTCCCCGTCCTTTTATTTTGGGTTAATTTCCATGCATTTGTTTCACTCAAACCACCTGCTGCTGTCTTGGATACTTGAATCTATTCAGGGTGAGGAGCTCATTGATTTAGGGCTTGATGGGGATATCATGAGTGTTTAGGAATCAATGGCCTGGAGCTGTATTTAGGAGCTGCAGAGGATACTAACTTTCATTCTCTTTCTGCTTTGTAGGTATTTGTATAAAATGTGGAAAAGGTGTGTATGGAGCGAGCCAGGCTTGCCAAGCAATGGGTAACCTCTATCATACCAACTGCTTCACATGCTGCTCTTGTGGTAAGTCAGATCTACCGTAGTCTTATTAAGTGGCTTCCTTTTGTAATACATATTCCTTCAGCAACCAGTGTACAAAGTGAGATCCCATCTTGCCTTCTTCCTCAGGCAAAATTCCCACGCCAGACTCCAGTTTCAAAAGTTGCTTTTTATTTGCCATCTGTAAGTGTTCAATGGTGTTTTCCTAAGCAACAGCCTAGAAAAGTAGTATTTGGTTGTTTTAAGGGCTGCATTTACAAAATGACTTCAACCTGGCCGTTAAAAGCACTGCATACTTTAAATCACTTGTGTTTATGGAACTGTAAATGTGCATTTATCATTTTTACAGAAAAACAATAAAATTTGTGCAGCCCAACCCATATTTTCCCTCCCTTTCTATTTGCAAATGCAACTCTAGTCAAGCATGTATATTTGTCATTTCTGTGTATGTGTAATGCTCAAAAACTGTTCTCTTATGTTTGAATGTGATGAGAACAAACAGAAACTGCATGTTGAAATACCTCAAGCTATTACAGTATTTTATTTTTGTAGAGGAAACCTTACAGGTAAATCATTGTTTCCTCCTTGCTGTTCTCAGGACTTCTTTAGATTCCTCTTTTAATCTGAATGCGTCTGAAAGTGATATATTCTATATGTGATTTGGGGAAGTCATGGCTTTTCCAGGGGAAGCAGTACTTGGAAAATTCAGGGCAGCACTTTCAGAAGTGTTTGCCTTCAGTCAAGCATTGTGTACTTAAGTTGAAAACTTCCTCAGTGTCTTGTCTGTAACTGCTGAGAGCTCACAAATTCCCACCAAGTTCAAGGGAAGTATGAGAGCTCAATTTTCAGGAGTCTCAATTTTCAGGAGTCAGATAATTTTTCTTGATATACCCACACATTTATCTAGGTCCGTAAATATATAAAAATATTTGCTTGGATGTTGAAGATCTTGTTGCGATACATATACTCAGCAAAAGATACACTCCAAGCAGAATATGCCAACCGTAAATTGTTTATACAGAGGATTAATTAAGGATTAGAAAAAGAGTAAAAGCTTATTGGCATGGAACCGTAGAAGTTGATAATGAAAAGACCATTGTAAAGTTCACTTTTGAAAGGAGAAGTGTTGTCTTTTCTCTTGAGATTTGTACAGATAAATATTGGTTTAAAGAAACCTACAACCTGAACGTAGAATTTGGTGACCTTTTTAAGTGACTGGACCATTACCAGGTTCTAGAATAAAACCTTCAGGAATTGCTCTTGACTTTGCTTAAGTCTTGACAGTGAGTGAGTAGCTATTTTGTTGGCTCCCAAAGTGAACAGCATCCTGATTAGCAGAGGATTACAAAATATGATATGGGATAATAATCTATCCACTCATCGCCAACATTGACCTAACCTAATTGCATGGTTGAATTCCAGCTTCTCTGGGTCAGACGTGTTGTTTTTAAGTAGTCAGGATGCATGTTTGCTACCACAGGGGTCTGTACACAGGTCACACTGTTCCTCAGCAGAATGCATAAGGGCCAAGGAATGTATTTTAACAGCAAAATACAAACCCAACTTAATTATTCAAAAGCACAACAAGCTTTTCTGACTGTTCTGGTGAGGTGTGTGTGGCCAGTGTACACCTACCATAGGGCGACTTGAGACATGTCCGCTTGGAGCGTAGTTTTGCCCCACCCCACCAGTGCTGGTGGAATTTTGTGATTCACACAGCTTTCCGTGAGTCATGCACACACACAAGGAAACAGTGCTCCAGGTTGTCTTCTGAGCCCCTTGCCATACTGCTTGTGGCAGATACCGTCCGCCAGGATGCTTCCCAAGTGAGAAGGCGCTTGGATTTCCCCTCTGCAAGCTTTGATACAGCCCCATCAAAAGGGGAATGCATGGGGACTTTCTTCTGTTAGGCACTGAAAAGGTGAATGTGCTGCTAATGTGGCAGTAGTGCCTGAGTGCAGCTGAAAAAAACGTGATCAAACCCTACATTCAGGTACATGCAACTGAGTCAAAAGCAGAGCCTTCCCTCTCAGCTCAACCCTGAAATAGGATCAAAATGAGCATAGCTGGAACAGGGGCTGTTGCATTAACTCCTTGGTTTCCCACTTTATTTAGGGCTGTGTAGTCCTTGGGAAAACCAGTGATTCAGGATAGTTCCTGTATATCCAGACCTTGGGAATGAGGCGTGCATGTCCCATCTATGGGAATTACATCCTGGAATGTGCTGCTGAAAAGTCTGTACGGGACCTCTTGTACAAGCAGCTAGACAGAAACTTATCACAGTACTGCAGTTTATGAACGAGGAGTTTATTTTGCCTTCAGTGTGACATTGGTGGCACCCAGGTGAGAATATTCTGCACTCTAATTTTGATGCCCATCTTTAACAAGATGAGGAAAAACTGGAGAGCGTCTGAAAGGACTACATAGATGATTAAAGGCTGGAGAAATGCTAATTGTGAGAGCCCAGTGTATTTTGGGTATCAGAAATTACAGGAGGGACACGTGGCTGGAGCTTGTAAATACTTTTACCATAAAACTGCTTTAGAAAGTGGTCTCACACATACTACTGACAAACACAAGAGAGGTATTTCCTGAAGGCTTAAATTACACAATTCAAATTGGAAATCAAAGACAGTTTTTTTAGAATGAAAACGATTAACTGCTGGAATGAAATAGCAAGAGAAGTGGCAAATTCTGTATTCTTATTTGCTTTCAAATTTAGAGCAAATGTCCTTTTGGAAAGCATTTTAAGTTGAGCCAAGCTTTTAGATTCAATACATAGGTAACTGGGTGATCATTATTGACTTTTGTTAGGCAAATGGTCACAGCACACAGACTAATGCTCCTTCTGAGCCTTTGACAGGATAGTAGAGAAGTACATTAGTACTTTCTGCCTAAAACAGTTCCTATGTATACTTAGAAATCTGAGATAGAGTAACAGTGCAGGCTTGCCTACCCTTTTTCCTTCTTTTTTCCCAAATAACAATAATGATCCAGACTTTCCTCCAGCAGTTATCAGTCTTACTTTCAATATAGTGGATCTAGAAATTAAAAGGCAGTAACTGCAGAAGAAAAATTCTGTACCTGAAGACACTTGATGTAGATAAGGGCCCAGTATTTAACCAGCTACAATTTAATAAATTTTAAAAATATTTTAAACCCTTGGGAAAAGTTGTGGTTTGGAGACCACTCAGGCCAAAATGTGCTAATGAGTGATGGAGCCTCCAAGGGCCTTGTTTCAGCACTCGGCAATGTGTGTTTTCAGCTCAGCAAAGACCAGTACAGTTACTTAGAGAAGTGGGAAGAGAGACCCTCAGTAGGAAGTTCTGCCTGAGTCAGAGTCCTTTCTTAGACACTTCTTGGGGTTTAGCTTTGGTTTCAGTGCCGTGGTTGAAAAGGGCAGTGCATGGCCACATGGGCCATCCTGTGCCTTCGAGGAGCATACAGTGCTTGCCTCGGTGCTCTCCTTTTCGACTCCCACCCTTGTGTATCACACCATTGCCGGAGGGGTTTTGATGCTTGTAATTAAAGAGGAAAACCTGAAATACACTCACAGATGCAGGCACCTCCATCAGGATTCCAGCCTTGCTAGTGTAGAAGTGTGATGATGCAAGGATGGATTCTCAGGGGTATTCTGCAGTGATGGTGGTTAGCTTTTGAGAACGTGAACGCAGAAAGATGAAGAAATATTTCAGAGATACAGTAAATAGACAGGAGACTTCTGTCCCCTTTAGATGTTTGGTAAAATGCTCATATGGTAAATTTCCTTATTGTCTTCCTAGGTTCTCGCAAATCTGCAATAAAACTCAGTTATATGTGGATTCAGAGTTGTACAGGATCTCCTCAAAAAAAGAAAATCTCACCAGTGAGCTGAGGTCAGAAGAGCGGAAAGGAAAAGCCTGACCTAGCAGGCACATTCTATGCATTTCTCTTTAATGTTAGTTGAGCCTTCCTCCTATAACTGAGCAAGTTCAGCATCTCGGAACTTTGCTGTCAGTTAATTTTTGTTACATCTCTGTGTAAACCCCGGTTGCCTTCTGCAAAAAGCTATGTTCCTCAGGTAGCTGCTTTTTTTTTTTTTTAGAGGTCAGATAATTCTCCTCAGGTAATGTAAAAGCCAAAAGTAATCTGGTTTTCCTGGGATCAAGTAGTTCAATGTTGATCTTTATCCACAATCTCTAAGAGAAAACAACTGAAGCTTGTTAGGATAGTTTTAATTGTAGACTCAGATCCTCTCTCAGCCTGAACACCAGTGGAACCTCCTTTGGACCTTGATTATTCAGCAAAATGCTTAGACATGTTATTACTCATATGTAAACATGCTTTGCTGAATCTTAAATAACAGAGATTAATTCAGGCAACAACATACACTGTCCCTTCTGTTAAGTGAAAAATTTTAGTTCTGGCAAGAGTTCAACTGCAGATTTTGCTTATGGAAGGGAAGAGCTGGAAAAATCTGCCTGAAAAGCTCGTCATCTAACTGCTCTTGGTAGTATTTCAGAGCACGACAAGTTTTCTTGAAGAATAATTACAAAATGCTACATCGCTTGTGTGCTCTAAGTGCAGGTGATCAGTTGCAGGAATGAACGGGCTCGATTTGGTACTCATTACAGGAGATAACTTAGCAGGTGTCTCCAGTTTGCAATCAGAATGCTAATCCACAGCATTTTTTTCAAGCTGAAAATGTTGATCCAGTGGCAATGATTGTAGAAACTACAGTAAGATAAATCTTTGCAATGAGGAATATCAGTTATTTGTTACTCTGAGGGTGTAGGAGATGGGCAGGGAATGAGCTTTGCAGGGAAGGGTTTGAAGTCTCTGTAATCTCAAAGCTGGGATGTATATCACCATAAAAACCAGGAACACGTTCTGTTCTCTTATGTGAAGGCAAATGTTTGAGCATGCCGTTCATCTTTAATTTGCACTTTTGCCACTGGTTTTAAGGCACAGGAAATCACCACAAGATCAATCAGAAGCCTAAAGCAAACTGTATAATCCCAAAGGTATGCAGCGCATTTCTTACC